TGCAAACAATAACATCCAAGTTGCAAAATGTCATCACTATCATTATATCCTTTTAGATGTGCGTTGGTGTCCCATATAAGAAAGAATAACCACGTAGTGCCTCTATCTTCTTCTTTTTAAATATACTGACTAACATTACTTACCGTAGCTTCTATTTTCACAAGCCACTGGGTCAAAATTAAGGCTCAGAAATAGTCGTTTTGAGGAGAAACGGAACATAATGTTTGTGGTCTATGTTCCAACCGAGAATATTTACGAGTGGGACCTTTTTGCGGAATTTACTATTCACCAACCGTTTGCCGCAAATGTACGCCCTGCGTTAGTAGGAGCTGTAAGGAGTGAGCACAACCATTACGCAAACAGCGTAAATCGAAAGCGGCAGTCTGTTCTTCATTGATAACAGTAGAGCAGCCTGTCTGTCACTGGGCGTTGGTAACAGTTAAGTGATGTGACTTGTGTTTTTTATGAAGATATTTTTCTCAAGTGTGATAAACAAAACGTTAGAAGAGCTTTATGTATCGCTAGCTTTGTGAAATTAAACAGCCACAGTAGAAAACAAGAGCGCAGACAACACATCGTCTAGCTAACACTAGCTATTACTAGCTACTACTAGCTGAAACTGAATCAACGAGTTTGACATTCTCATTGTTTGACATCATCTTTATGACATTTCAGAGTAGAGACCAGATGGAGAAAATGGTTAAGCGGATGATCACCCAGGAAACCTTCGATGCTGCTGTCAGGGAAAACATGGAGGAATTTGAGATGGATCCTGATGAGGCTCTGAAGGATGCTGTGGAGCAGTTTGAGTCTCAAGGTAACAGAGCTACAAAGGACGATGGCTGGTATTTAATGAATGAACAGTTTTGTTGATAGTCAGACTGTATATTATTATCTTAATGAGGCCAAACCTATAATATATGTCAACTTTAGGTGAAACATATCACCTATTTATAACCTTTTTTTCATCAGTAAAGGCCATACAGATCAAGCTTTGTTTTACAAATAGTGCCCTGATTACAGTATACCAAACAAGAGAAGCACACCAACGTTACAGTATACATTTACAAATTGTACAACAACCCAGCTAAATACCTAGCATACACCAGGGAAAGGAGATATACATTTAGGGAAACATACATTCAAATTAAATACTTGCATTTACACTTCTATATGTAAGCCAACAAATTGATCGAAAGGGATAGTGTGCCGTTGTGACCCATGCTATTCTAAATGTTCTAAAATGGCTGATTCACGAAGACTCTGATCAATTAAAAATCTCTTAGTATAAGAAAATAAGTATTATATAGTATCTTTCCTTTCCAATAATTTAGTAAATGACTTTACTTAAAGGAGAGGTGTCATGCTTTTCCGGTTATTACCCGTCCCCTTGTGTGTTATGAAGGTTTTTATGCATGTAAACGGTCTGCAGAGTCAAAAACCCTCAAAGTACACCCTGTAGGGAGTAAAACTCTAACACAGAAAAGACCTCCCCAAAACGCCTCGTTGGAGATTTCTCATGTTCTTCCTGGGCATCGTGACGTCTGGATACCCAGTAGCCACGCCCAGAGCTATGACGCGATACGGTCATGCGGTACCCGGAACCAAATGGACCAATCCGTGGAGCCGTTACGTTACGTCCGCGGAGCCGTTACGTTAAGCCCCCGCTGATTGGTCCAAATTGACCAATCCACGGACTTCCTCACACACAGGCAGCTCTGCTGATTTCTCCTCCCTGGCTGCAGGCTGATAACAAACAGTTGGGAAATTCTCTCTGCAGACCCATTCTCACAGCGTTTATCAACCTTTTTCTTACTCAATATCAAGCCACACTTATTGTTTTTACTTCCGCTGTGACTTTGTGTGTGCTCAGGATGAGTTTGGCTGTGTTTGGCTGTGTATCCTAAACAAGGAAACAACACCTCCACGGAGCTCAGCGCGATTCACAACGTCCCGACCAATCAGAGCACACTGTGCTCACAGGGAGGGTGGGGGCTGGAGCTATTGGAGCTACAACGAGCCGTTAAAGGCAGAGAGTGAAATTCAGTGAATACACGTAGTTTACAGAGATGCTGTATGAGAAACCAATGTGAGTTTGGAAAATTGCACAATATAAATCTATTTTAGTATACCTCAACAATGGAATTATGATCAGTGGAAATGGCCATGACACCTCTCCTTTAAACGTTGTTCCATCAACCCACACACAAAATAAAGCTGGACAGTGACTAACAATGTTTTAAAGTTCCTTATTGGAAAGTTGATAACCTACATAACAAGTTTTACCATCAGCCCACAAAATAGTTTAAAGTATTCATACACACCTGTTTTCTGTGTCGATGCAGGTGTGAACCTCAATTGTATAATACAAGCTGTACCACCAGTATCATCTGATGGCAAACAAGAGCCAACACATGAAGTCTTAAAGGTAATCCTAATTTGAGAAAAAGGGATTACTGAGTGCAAAAATTTCACAATCTCACATCTGTTTTCTACTTTCAGGTTTTGAATTCCCTCTGCATTGTAAAAGATTCAGCCAGTGTGCAGGATGTGAAGGCAGATTTAAAACGCTTTACCGAGCTTTGTTCACTTGAATTCGCCCAGAGGTACCTGGCTGCCCAAAAAGACGCCTACCCAGTCATCCTCTCTTACTGCAAAAAGGGTGTGGAGGAGCAGGAAGCTGTGTTTACTGCTCTCTCCGCCCTGGCTGCACTGACAAATGGACAGCCAGACTTGTTGAATGCAGAGGGCCAGCAATTCCTTTTGAATATCCTCAAGAAGTACAAGGCAGAGTCCTCTGTGACACGTGTAGCCTTAACCACCGTCCGTCAATGCTGTTTGAAACATGAACAGAACAGGCAGGATTTGGTCAAAGCTGGCATCCTGCCTTTGCTGACCGGTGCCATCAAACAACACAGTGAAAGTGCTCAGATCGTCAAGGAGGCCACTGCAGCTCTCAAGGTCATGACCTTTGACGATGATGTCCGAGTTGCCTTTGGGCAAGCTCATGAACACGCAAAGATGATTGTTCTCGAGAATAATGGACTGAAGGTTTTAATTGGGGCTGCGAAAGGTAAGGCCCGCTGATGAATAGTTGTTTCAGGTGTTTAGCATGATATCTTTAACCACTTTAATTTACAAAACAAATTCTGATTATATCCTTTGTTTTTCCCTCACAGCTCACCTTGATAATACTTCTGTTCTGAGTGAGCTGTGTGCAACGCTGTCCCATCTGGCTGTAAGGAATGAGTTCTGTCAGGACATCTGTGACCTGGGGGGATTGAAACTCATCATGACGCTGCTTGCAGAAGGCTATGAGAAAGCGGTAACCTGCTTAAAACATGGCGATGTTTTACAGACTGTCAGGAATATATGTTCACTGTGTATGTTATGCTCACTGAACTGGTTTATCATTGCAGGAGTTGATTCGGCAGGTCTTTTGTGCAATACGGGCCATAGCAGGAAATGACGACGTGAAAGACGCAATTGTTAATGCCGGTGGAGTCCAGCTCATTGTCATTGCCATGAACCGACACATGAACAACTCTGCTGTGAGTAAAATGTCATACCTGTAGCATTTAACACAGATTGTTGCTTACAAATATTATAATTGGTTGTTTTTTGCTGGATAAAAATGTAATTGAGTAATAATTTAATTCTGGAAAATGTCCTAAGATTATGTTCATGTTTTACTGTAGGTGTGTGAGCAGGGCTGTGCATGTCTCTCGGTGCTTGCTCTGCGTAAACCGGAAAACTGTATAGTCATCATGGAAAATGGAGGTGCCTTGGCTGCTGTGCAGGCTATGAGGACACATACCAATTCGATCAATGTCCAGGTATTATATCCATATTACAAGGTCATTCATTTTCATTAATATTTGTACCTAATACAAATCAGGCCTTTTTATGTTTGCCAACAATCTGTCCATGTTTTCTTTTTTTAAATCAGAAACAGGCATGTATGCTGATGAGAAACTTGGTTGGCCGTTTGAGTAACTTAAGCCAACCAATCCTGGATCTGGGCGCAGAGGACCTGATAAACCAGTACCTCAAGACCCATCAAGACAGTGGAGACGTGGGTAAAGCAGCCCTCAGAGATCTTGGATGCCACGTGGAGCTCCGAGAGCTCTGGACCGGAAAACATGGCAGCCTCACCCGGTGAAAGTAAAGAAGAGCATTAATGTACATCCTTACAGTGAGCCTAAAGCTTCTTTTCAGGCAAGAAAAAATGTTATCTTGGAATAGCCAAGAGTTTAAGCTGGTGCATCTACCCAGTTTGACAAATGTGTTAAAAGGAGAGGATGTAGAACACATATTTGTAAGCAGGCCACCTGTCCGACACAACGCCTTTGAGAGGTCATTGTAGTCCAGGTAATCATGTTTTGTTTGCTCACAAATCCTCTGTTGCCCAATTTTATATCTGTACCACATTTTTGTTGATAATATGCAGATGTTAATTTTCTTACTTTTTGTGCCATGGGTTTATCTTAATAAATGTATTTGCTGCTATGCAAATATTTTACCTGCACTGGTTTGTGCAGTCTCTTTGCAGCCACATTTAAATGTATTGAATGAATTGTACTTTTACTAGAGCCAAACATTTCCTTTGTATGTGTTTCGTTTGTTTATCCATTATTACAATTTAAATTAAAATCTCTGATAGTAAGATCTACCATTGGCAACTGTACTGAACATTTAGTATTGATTTTCTCAGTTTTACTGTTATAGTGACTCACTATTGTTCATTTTTGTGACTTTTATTTAGATACCATACATTAATACATACATAGGAACTGTTACAACTGTTAATACAACTCTGCCTGTTACTGAGCATCAATAAAGTACTTCACGGACAAGAAAAAAAACACGGCTATAGTAAGCAAGCTTGTTGCCAAGTGTGTCTTCTGCTCAGTGCTCACGCCCCTCTAACAGACCTATCCAAACATGCCCCTCCTCGTTGGGACTTCATTTCCCAGAATGCCACCGCGCTCCTCCTTATCCAACCTCCCTGTGGCTAACGTTAACCTCCTCGGGTCGTTGACAGCAGTAGTAAGGGCATAAATAAGACAGCCACTCACTTAAAGTCACAGCAGACCTGAGGGTTATGAGAAACGTTTCGTTACACCAGGAAACATTTTTAGAAAGACACTTAATATTTTCACAGCTGTGTCGACGAGATAACATTAACGTTGTTTCAGTGAGCTAACAGCTAGCTAACGTTGCCTAACTTGCTAACGCGTTCGCTAACTTGGAAAAAGCTTTCGAAAAACCTGCTAGAAACTCGAAACAACGCACCAAGTGAAGGATATAAATGTATCAGACATATTCGTGATGGTGTCTAATGTTTAAGGTAAGAAATGTAACGTTAGTTTTAATCTACTGACAGCTAGCTGGCTGCCCAGGGTGTCATTATGTTATGTTAGTGGACAAGTTTGGACCTGTGAGTGCACTACACAGACAGAAAGACAAGCATGGAGATTATTTTATGAATGAATATCTGATTATTTACCGCTAGTAATTGTAAATATACCCTCTTTATTGTTATGCAGTTTTTACAATATATTAAAATGTATTTTGAAACATTACATGCCAATGAAATGCCATAATCAGTATGTGGTTTATTGGCAGGTACGTCTACATACAAGGAATTTGCTTTGGTGTATGGAGGTGCAAACAAACAACATAAGGATATAAAAAGTTAATGTAAAAAATATAACGATTATTACTACATAACATATTCTTTTAAAACAATTGAACATAACAAAAAAGAATAAAGACAATTATTTACTCCAAACATAAATATAAACCAAAGAAACAAAAAGTACAATGAATATATGACATATGACAAACTACAGCATATTATATTGCCTAATGTTGCAACAACGTATAAATACCAGGAGGTACACACAACACATGATTTAATTCAGTCACATACAGCTACACCACAATCATTGATTTTATAATTGAAATTGTATTCAGAGCTGAAACAAGGTTGATAATCTAACAGTCCATTGACAGACTTGATTGTCAATGTGATTTGATTGTAAATGGTGATTATCTTATGATTTATTTAGGTTTTGAGCGGTTGATCTGAACAAAACTCAAATTTTGAAGACTCAGGAAAATTCTGAGCACTATTTAGTCTAAGTAAATTACATTCACACATACATTTTACTGATGATTATGGCCATGTAGGTTACTTAGCTGAGAAAACAGTTTGCTAAATTTGTCAGATAAATAGTTCACACAGGGATGTTTGTGTTTTTATGAACACTATCAAACCACAGGTACTGCTCTTCTGAACTCCTGAGTGTAAAGCATCAGCCGAGCCTGAGGCACACTAAACGGGTAGAGTTAGCAGCAGCAGTCGGGAACAAGTAACTGTAAAAGGATATGCAAGGGGAGGAATGAGGGAAGGCCCCGGAGCAAGGACAGTGTGTGAGGTGAAAGGGGTGTTAGGTCGGCGATCATTTGAGGATCTGGCTTGAAGCCCTGCTGCCCTGAAGCCAATATCAGTTGCCCACGACTACACAGCCTTTCAGCTGACACTGTTTGCTCTCTTGTCTCATGGCTTTCTCTCTTCCTCTTGTTTTGCTTGATTCTCTTCACTGTTTCTAAACTCCTTCAATTCAGATTTGACTAAGTGGAGTTTACAAAAAACCCTCCAGTAATAGCCTAGTCTTTGTTTGAAAGCTGTATCAGTCTTATATTGATTGAACTATTTAAATTAGCGGTGCCATCTTTTCATGGCTGCACTGTAACATTCAACAAAGATAATTGTGTCTAGTACTGACAAAGACATTTGGAAAAGATAATTCAATTGAATATAATGTATAACTAAATGTTCTCTGGGAACAGTTGACAACAACATATGCATTATATAAACTATGTGGAAACAAATCTAAACCCTAAATGATCTCAACATCAAGAAATGATTAATAAAGTAACTACAACAGACGAATCAGTCACTATCTTTGGCTGTTTTGTGGAAAATATGTATACTACAAACATTATTTAAGAGTTAAATAATAGTCTTTAAAATAAGTATTGCAGCCTAGCTCTACATTATTCACATGCCAACTTTGAATATTTTCTCATGCAGTTCAGGTTGACATATTTGAAAGCTTTTACATAGTGACTGTGAGAGTACAGTTGGCTTGAGTGTTGCTCAGCTGTGAACAATGTGCAGTGAGCCTGTGGGGTGAAGGTTGCATGAATAGGTTTGTCCAGTAGAATGATAAGCTCATTGTAGAACATGCAGCCATCTTTGTTTGTTAAGGCAATGAGATCCCACATCTCATGATAGTCTGCAGTGACTATCAATACAAGAAAGACCTGATTGTACAAAGATTGGGTAATATTGTACTGTACTGTATTGTATGTTAGCAATGAAGAGGATTAAATGGTTCTCTTGTTTTTCTTTTTTAAAAGCTTTGCTCACACATCACCTTTCACCGACAATTCTTCAAGAGATTTGTTGTGTGTATCTTCACACATTGTACTTTGCTCATTGGCTGGCAAAGGTGTGGCAATTGGGTAAAAGGTAACTGGATTGTTCTTCAGGGAAAACACAAGGTTGTTTTAACAGTATCTTGTTAATAGATAACCCCTCTCTCAGTCAGTACATGCTGACATGACTTATTCTGCAGAGGAGTGCAAAGAAAGTACTAGAACACATGTCTGTGCCTGCAGGAACACAGGGTGAGACTTGAATACATTTGTACCCATTTTGCCACATGATAAATTCTAGCTATGCTCCTGTATGTAAAATATTGCTTTGTAGACAGTGTTATCATGACAGGCTTGTCACTTGATCCTGACACGGATCATATACGGAACATATCTCGTCAATTGTTTTATATTTAGGCTAACCTAAAACTGACCTCTGTTTCTCCCCTGCTCTCTCTCTCTCTCTCTCCCCCCTCCCCCCTCCCCCCCCCCCCAGCTGTGAGGGCCTGGTGGTGCTGCCCCTGTCTGCAGAAGTTGAATTCATGAGCAGCTTCAGTGACAGCAGTGCGTAGTCCTCCGGGATGGGGAGTGGAGTCCAGGAGCAACGGGCCTCACTACAGGGAGAAGTGCTGCCAAACATCCACCCCAAAACGAAGGTTTGCTTTCATCTTTGGATTTTACTATATTATTATGTAGAATTAAATAAAAAGTGATTATCTGGTAATGTAGAATAGCAGATTTAGAGAGGCTTTCCAAATGTTATTTTGCTGTCAATGTTTCATCTGTGTTTTATTTGTGGGAGGTGCTCTCTGCTAAGTACTTTGTTGTATTGTATAATAAGATAAGATATGCCTCAGAGATGAGATTTTTCTGTATAACTTTTATACAGATTTAAGTTAACTGTCAAAGTGAGATGGGCACGCGTTTACAACCTCCCACAGTTTATATGGTGGGAGGTTTCTTTTGGATCAGGGGGGCACTGGTTCAAATCCCGCTGCTGTCAGTATGCCGCTGTGTCCTTGGGCAAAACACTTCAACCCAAATTGCTCCTGTGGGGATTGCCCACAGTATTGAATGTATGTAGCGACATTTAATGTAATATAATGTTATATATGGGGGGCAAACAAGGAGATAATAGATTTGGGACCTGGTAAAAGTATATTTGTGTAGATGCATAGAGCCTGTATTCGATATTGCCTTTTCTTTAGAGATACTGAACTCAAGCTGGACAGCCAGATCAAGGCAGTAGTTAGAAACAGCTTCTTCCACCTCAGGCAGCTAGCCAAAATAAAGCCTTTTATAAATAGTGACCTTTTTGAAACAGTAATCCATGCCTTCGTCACCTCCCGCTTGGATTATTGGAATGCACTATATATTGGGATAAGTGCGTCCTCCCTTGCTCGCCTGCAGATGGTGCAAAATGCAGCAGCACGGCTACTAACTGGCACATGCAAACACGAGCACATTTCCCCCATTTTATCTTCACTCCACTGGCTGCCCGTTCTTTCGAGGGTTCAGTTTAAAACTCTTTTATTTACTTTTAAAGCCCTCAATGGCTTGGCCCCGCCCTACCTCGCTGAGCTGTTACACAGCTACACGCCCACTCGCACTCTCAGTTCAGCTGATCAGTTGCTCCTGAGGGTGCCAAAAACAAAGTCTAAGCGCAGAGGGGACCGTGCTTTCTCTGCTGCCGCCCGTAAACTGTGGAACGACCTGCCCTTGCTAATCAGACAGGCTCCCACACTGTTTGTTTTTAAATCCTGTCTTAAAACCCACCTCTTCTCCTTAGCATTCGGAACCAAGTAGATTGTTGCTTTTATTTGCTTTCAGTGGTCTATGGTTGTTTTTTATGTTTTTATTTTTATTTTGTAATTGTTACGTTTATTCTGGTTTGTTTTGTGTTTCGTATCTTTTATGTGATTTTATACTTATTTCTATGTTTTGTGAGCTGAGCTGTGTGATTTTATATTTGATGTATCTCTCTGTACAGCACTTTGGTCTGGAGGTTTTAAAGTGCTTTATAAATAAAGTTGGATTGGATTGGATATTGTGAATCAGGGTGAAGGAGTGATTATATGTGTGTTGAGCTGAGCTGCCGCTTCATGGCCTCTGCACTTTCTTCAGTTCCTTTAAGGACATCTGCTCCCATTTGTAAGCTGGCCAGTCACCTTTTATCCTTTCATAACTCTGGTTTAATGATCAACAGCATCTCAAACACTACTTTGTTCACATAAGGAGGCACTTTTTTCACGATTCACTCTGTTAGTGTTGCTGACCCTAAATGAGATTCCTCCATCGCTGTGCAGGACCTGCAGCAGACGCGCTCCATCCTCAACGCCATCTTCTCTGGAGCTTTAGCGGGCGCTGTGGCCAAGACAGCTGTCGCCCCATTGGACAGAACCAAAATCATCTTCCAAGGCAAGTGTGGATCTATTTTTAGATAAGAAACAACTCACATTAGTCTATCTACAACTGATTTTGAGTTTTAACTGGGTTGCTCTTGCATTCAGATAAAAGTCAAGTTTATTTATATAGCATATTTAAAACAACCTCAGTTGACCAAAGTGCTTTCCAGTTTTAAAATAAGACAATCAGCAATAAATAAAAGAATAAAGACATACTTGTACACAGGTAAACATAGATAAAATGAATAGAAATACAAATAATGTGAATATTTATATTGCACATATGTTTTGTTTTTTAGTGTCTTCAGATAGATTCTCTGGTAAGGTAAGTTTGATCACAATTCTATAGTTTCTTGGTTAAACAATTGTCTGATTCTCAATCATAACAAGAGATCAATTCACAAAACTAAAGTTGAATTCATGGTTAATAGTTCTCATTTTGACCTTTTTTAAAGAATACATCACAGGAACAAGTTTTACAGACACAAATCTGAACAACAATAGCTTATCATCAATCAATGTGTGTGTTAATATGTGTGCATTACATTCCAGGAGGCCTACAGGTTGATCTACCGCACCTACCTGAAGAATGGCTTCTTCAGCCTGTGGAGGGGGAACTCTGCCACCATGGTGCGAGTCATCCCGTACGCTGCCATCCAGTTCTGTGCGCACGAGCAGTACACGAGGATCCTGGGAGGCTACTATGGCTTTCAGGGGAAGTGAGTGTCAGGGTATATTGATAGATGTCTTGACTGTTGTGTTTGTTTTGAACCCTTGTGTTGTGTTCGAAAGCTGTTACCGTTCATGGTGTTCGCGGGTCAATTTTGACCCATGATTTGTTTCAGTCCAAAACACACAAAAATGACTATCATCCAATATTGTTTTAACTACATCATAGCTAACTTATTATGCATTCATAACCGTATAATCCTGTAGTAATTGTATTTTATGGCCCCAAAACACATTACACCACATATTGCACACGTGCATGTGTGTGTTCAAGTGTTAGTGTACATATTCTTTGAGAAAGGTGGAGTTCCCATGGGGGGAGGGGAGACCAGGTGCATGTTGCGAAAAATTATTGTTACAGTGGATGAAGGGGGTGGGGTGTTTCAAGTGAAAGATGAATCTTGATTGGGCCAAATTTGACCCCGAGTCACCCACGACAATTCTTCCGGGTCTTCCCAGACCCAAACACCAAATTATACACATTTCTTTTTAGAGACCTTCAGACTTGGCTAAAATGGTCAAAATCAGTTTTGTAGTGTTTATATAGCTGTTGTGGAGGATATCATGAAGCCTTGTTCCGATACAAAAAACTAGAGCGTAGTTATTATATAATTTGGGTCACGGGAGACCCGAACACAACATAAGGGTTACATGTAATAAGCACTCAAAAGATTTTCTTTATGTCTGGTTGGAGTAACATAAACTCTGAAAGGTTTATATATGTTTCGTCCCTGTTCCAGAGTCCTGCCTCCAATCCCGAGGTTCCTGACCGGGGCTGTGGCTGGTTTCACGGCAGTCATGCTGACTTATCCTCTGGACATGGTGCGAGCTAGGATGGCTGTAACGCCGAAAGAAATGTAAGTATCTTTCAACTTTTTTAACACTACAGCAAAACAACCAGGGACTGCTTTGGACTGTGTTGCTATGCTACACTGTTCAGGTTCAGGATTAAATATGAAACATTTGAAAGAGTTGTAGAGCAATCGACTCCTCTTAGTAATTCATTCAGCGATAAAATTATGATATCAACACCCGAAGGCCGTACATACTTTTATATTAGATTTGTGAGGCATGTTGCTTTTGTTGCAGACACTTATTCAATACTATATATTTTCCAGTCTGGAAAAATATATATTTTTGGTGAAGCAACCAAAATAAAAGTCCTTCAAACAGTTTTTAATGGATACCAGTCTCCACCTCACAGGCATCTGAGGGAGTTGGGTTATTGATCAGACTTGCTGTTGTCTTTGGTGGGACTGTAGAGTATTTTCCTGAATGAAAACGGGTTTGAAATAGAATCAGAATCTGATTATAAGCAGGAGCCTTTTACTGCAAAATGTCCACATGTTCATTCTCATATTCCTGTTGATGTTGTTGCCTGTGCTGTTTAGGTACAGTAACATCCTGCACGTGTTTGTGCGGATATCCCGAGATGAGGGCCTGAAGACGTTGTACCGAGGCTTTGCTCCCACCATGCTGGGAGTTATTCCCTACGCTGGACTCAGCTTCTTTACCTATGACACACTGAAGAAACTGCACTCAGGTAATGCACTGCCAAGTCTGATGTAATGCGTAGTTATCTCAACCTGCTTCTTTTACACTCATTTTAATGTTGCATATATGAAATGACCCTTGTTCACTTCCTCCTCTCCCATGTAGAGCACACCGGGCGCCCAGACCCCTACTCGTATGAACGATTGGCATTTGGAGCCTGCGCAGGACTTATCAGCCAGTCGGCCTCTTACCCTCTGGATGTGGTGCGGCGGCGCATGCAGACTGCGGGAGTCACGGGTCACACGTACGGCACCATCCTGGGCACCATGAAGGAGATTGTGGTCGAGGAAGGGTTCATCCGCGGACTCTACAAAGGTCTCAGTATGAACTGGGTCAAAGGGCCCCTCGCCGTGGGGATCAGCTTCACCACCTTTGACCATACCCAGATTGTCCTGAAGAAGCTGCATGAGATGGGCTACACGGGTCGATAATACTAGCGATACAGAGGGGGGGGGAATTGGGGATTGCTGGATGACGTGTTCCCAGTTGAACCATCTGGAGAGAAGGGAAGTTAGAGAGTGACCATGGTGTACACACACTGGCTCAGAATGCGTTATATTAATGTATTCTCTCACGTTATCGGTGTGCAGCAGGGGATGTAAGCGTCTGTGGGAGGATACACACTGTTGTCATGGACAGCTAAGTGCAATATGTGCAGTGATTTTCTGTGCGTTTGTGTGAACACATGATTCGTAACGCTCCTCCCCTGGTGGACCAGTCAACACGCACGCACGCACGCACACACACACACACACTAGGGTCTCCCAACTGCCTTCGGTGTCTGCTTAAAACTGACGCCTTTGAAATGCAGATTTAAACTTGTTTATTTTGTAACTTTTCAAGCTGCATTTGATAACAGTAAAATAAGCCCCCTTGAGATTAGTTTTTTGTGAGTGCATTTGTTTTAAGGAATTATACCAAAGGATAGTATATAAGATAGTTATAGTAGATTATATGATGTTAGTGGTGTATTTTTAAGCACAAAAGTTGTCAGAGTACAACTGGAAGAGCAACAATCATGCCTAGCACCGAGCACAGGAAATGGCATTGCTGCTGCCGTCATATGGTCAGTTTTGGTTTGAGTTGCATTTATTGAAATTAGTCCAGTATCTACAAGTGGAGCACGCTAAAGATTGACATTATACTCACCAGTGCCAACAGATATGAAGTATAAAGAGTGCCCATATGATTTTGTTTGCACTGTGATCTATGATGGGCTTTTTAAAAGATTGTGATTGAAATGTGTGTTGTTTGAAGTACTAATACAGATGTTTAGACTTATAATTTATGTACCAGTTGGGAAAACAAGAAGTTAACCTCCTACAGTCCCATTTAATGCACATCAAGCAATATAATATTACATGTACAGTCTAATGTAACCCCTGACGACAGCCCTGCAATGAACATATACCTTCATGAAGATTACAATGTGCTGTTGCTGTGTGACAAGTGTCACTTTAAGTCCAGTACGCTTCTAGCCGTGTTGTTTTGGATACAATATATAGATACAAATGTTGTCTTTGATGTAGGGTTGACAGCTGCAGGGGTTTTGTTTAAACATGGCACAAGTTGTAGAGCTGTAGCAGTATTGGCTAATGAACTAGCTGACTGAAAATATGCACAAACGCCCGGTGAGGAGATGATTTTAGTTTCTTGAAATGGGAATGATTTGGTACATGTTGGTGTTTTCTGTATTGTCCTTTTACCTCAGCACAAAATCAAATGTTCATTCATTTCCACATATCAATGTGTTATGTGGAATAGTGTAGAAAGTGGGACTCGCTGCCTAGTTTTCTGAATGAATGTGAGACGGTGTAAACAGTATGGGCGGAGGCTCACAGTGGTTGGAGAGTGTCAATAGTTTCTATCCTTAGACGCATAGCGAGAGCTGAGGCAGCAGCTGAGCGCAGGAGAGTGACGGCGTCAGGATGAAGCTTCTCTGGGAAACTGCTGTGAGGATATCCAACTACTTTGAATGACAGTGACACTCAAATAGCAATATTGTAATGTTGTTTTTACCTCTAGAACTTCACTAATAAGGTTTCAATAGCCTATGTTTTGTGTTTTCACTATTTAAAATATTGATTGATTATCAAATAGGGATTTCTGTTAACTAATCAACTTATCAGCTGATTGTTCTAGGGCTTGTTATCATTTACATTGATTTGAGCTAATGCTTAACATCAGTTGGTTGTCCCTTAAAAGAAAACGAATATTTTAACAAACTATTTTTTATTGAACACACTCAAATTGAAGTAAAAAAACGCGTCCTGGTCACCTGATCGTGGTGATACATTTGTTTTAATGGTACTCTTTTAATATCAGATTGTGATCTTTACCCCTTGCCTTCTTGGTGGGCAATAAGTGTTCTGGGCATTTTGATCAATGGATTCTGACTGAAGTGCTGAGCAATGCTGCAAAGTAGAAACTGAAGCTGAATGAATAGTTAATCATAAGTGCCTAGCAAGGGATAGTAATGTTTTACTATGACTGCGCTACTTCTACTAACCTTCTTGAAGGTTGCTTCCATTTTCTGTCCGTTGCTTCAGTCTTGAAGTAATAAGTATTTAAGGGGCAGCAGAGGATTTGAAGTTTGGGGCTCGACCTCTTTGACTGAATGTATTACTTCAGGCCAGTTTTTGTATGTGGATTTTGTAAAACGTGTAAACTGCCCTGCACTGTTTTGCTGTCTAAAGTGAGATGCATGATCCTGGCTCCCTAACGGATCAATCCATTCCAAACAGTGTAGACCTGATTCAAAGGTTATTTGTAACCTGATCTGAATTGAAAGAGCGTTTTAGTGTTATCATCTCCCTATTGATCAAAGGAGGTAGGTGATGAAAAACAATACAATAGGGAGAGTTCACAACAAGCTTGGAAGAAACCCAGACAATCATGAAATGCCAAAAAGTTTCATTTTTAAACAAAAGGTATTCTCGTTTTTGTTGCAAACCTGACAGTGGCTTAATGATAGTACATAAACACTACTACAACAGAAACTGGTCAAATGTGACTCTTTGTTTGCTCTTGTTAAAGCAAATGTTTTAACCCATTTGTGGGTAATGCTAGACGTGCAGACATACAATGCTACTGTGTTTGCATGTTGCAACAGATCACCTTGTATTGTTTTTGTTTCCGTGCAGCAATAATACGACAGCTGTTTTGTAAATCCTAGTGGTTTGTGCCAACTGAATGTAAACGTAGCTACTAATACCACACCCTGTGTCCAGTCTCTAGTGATGATGGTGTATCTGTAGGAACATTTTGAAATATCCAATTCTCAAATAAAACTGGATGTTAATAAAAGATTGATGCTTGTTTATTATCTCAATGTTTTTACCCTTCCTCTGAATGTCCTCTGTTTGTATATGTGGAGTTACATTTGGCATTAGATGAAAACTAGAGTTAAACATAACAACTACCATGTTCAGTGTGGTCTTCAAGGATTCTTAACATCCAAAAAAACACATCCATTGTGTCATTATTTAAATCTTAAAATAAATAAACACATTGTTGGAGTTTTAAAGAATTCCTTTTTAATTGAGAAAAAATACTAGAAGGTAAATAAAACATTAAACACTTTTAAACATAATGACAAAATAACAACCTGAAAGATATTTATTCTATCTACACATTTCGTAATTATCTAATATAGTGTTGGCTAAAGTAATGCAGAATATATATATTTTTTAATTGTAAATAATTAGAAACATTATTTATGTGCACAAGTACATAAATATAAAAAAGGTCCAAATGCGGGAATAAGTATAAACAGTGAATGTGTAAATAAATACATGCAAAAATATGAAAAAATTAATTAAATGGGAAAGTAAATGAGATATACTGACAAACAAATAGCTACAGATCAAGAAATAAAAATGAGTACATAAATGTTTCATACTTAAATTAGTATTAATTTCTATTGTATTTAATTGTTCCTATTATTAATATTATTATTATTATTATTATTTATTTCCCGTGTCAGTTTTGGGCCCCCACACATAACAAGCTGTCTTTGTTCAGGCGGAAGACACATGGCATGTAATGACATCTGCTGACCAGAGGAGGGCGCTCCGTCCCCGTGTATGAGTGAGTTCCTCCGGCTGCAGTTCCGCAGACGGCCGGTGTGTGGCAGCACAGCGCCGGGAGCAGAGGGAGGTGAGCCGGTCAGACCGAGCTGCTGCACCGCCTTAGGCCGTGCTGGAGCTTTGAACTTGACCGTGAACGCAACACAGCCTTATGAAGCCGATGAATAAACTGAGCAAATTGAAAAAGGTCCTAATTGATTAAGAATAACAAGTATTATTAGTATATATAGGGTATATAACATTTTATTTGGACGTTTTAAGATTGTATAGAAAGTAAAGAAATCCATATCTGATTTATTAAAGGGTATTTTACTGTGTATTGCTCTTAAAATGGGGTGAAATATTTGACTTTATTTAAGATTTTATACTTGAACCGGACAGAGAGCTCGAACCAAAATCTTTATGCACAGATTTCTTGTAATGTGAAAGAAAAGGCAGCAGAAGAAAATAGCTAGGAAGGACTAATTAGAGAGTGAAGGAGGAGGGATAGACGGAGGCTGAGGATGTGGTTGCTATAGATACTTGGCATGATGCCAGGTGGAGGCAGAGCCAATTTGCATTTATTCAGATGATGACTGCTCTCTCTCTCTCTCTCTCTCTCTCTCTCTCTCTCTCTCTCTCTCTCTCTCTCTCTCTCTCTCTCTCTCTCTCTCTCTCTCTCTCTCTCCCTCTGAAATAAAAGCAGCAAAACACCCATTTCATTTAATTAGTGTTCAAATATAGGCCTATTCTTAGTAACATATTTTCTATTGCTAAACATAGTGGAAAGCGGTTACATTTAAAAACCTATGTGTGAACTTACTTCAGCTTGATTCAAAAATACATATTTTGATGATGACACAAAGTACATCTTTCTCTAAACAAGAGGCTTGTTGCCAGGTTAGGTTTTATCATTTGAAGTTGAAAGCTTTAAAACCAGATTGTAGTTTCTTCTTTTTTTTATATATGCAATCTATATTTAATAATGAAAATACAAAGAATAAAATCTATGCACTGTAGTCGAGGCCTGCGATTTCATGTAGGCCTGAATCTGTTCCTCAAATGAAGCTTCAAATAAATGCTGCATTTGTTTTAGATTAAAAAAAAACTCAGAATTGAAAAGAAAACGTGAAGTAAAAAAGTTAAAATATAGCAGTTCTACTATAGTTATGCCTATCATATAATAGTCTATTTAATATTAAAGCTTCAGTAATTAGCCTCCTCCTCCTCCTCCGGCCTACAGTTCAGCTATAGCTAGCTTCTGTTGGGCCTCTGGGCTAATAGATTATTATTTATCTTTATATATTAAAGGAACAAAATATTGAGAAAATGCTGTAACAGAAAAATCGAAAGAGAAATGTTTGATGTATCAAAGGCTAAATCTATGTTTGATTTTACGTAATTAAAAATGATCCCCTTTTACAGTTTCCAATATAAAATGACACTGCCAGACCTACGTTAATTTAAAAGAAGCATTTCATGTGAATGTATAAAATAAACAGTGACAACAATGTGTCCTGCTTGAATAACCTTAATGTGAGTGCATTTTTTGCAAAGTTAAGAGTTTTTACTGAAAACATATTTAATAAATTCACTGGAAAAAATGCAAAAGTAAATTCTGTCTTTATTTAATACATATATATTTACACAATATACACACACAAAGTTTTGCATGGGGAAAACACATCAGGGTCATTTATAAACTGACTCAACCTCGACATATGGAATGATCCTTCTTATTTATTGTAAAACAACATTTCAAAAACAAAAACAACTAAAAAACACTTTCAATGAGCGCATAGATGGATCAATGATAGCAGTTAAACCTGGACTTATTTATTCAAACAGTCACAAAATAATTTAATAATATTGATGAAAATTCTACTTAAATTAACATCATCTTTATATATTGACATATGTCTTATATATATTGAGAAAAATAAATTATCGGACATTTGAATATATATTAAATATTTACCAACAATACAAACTTCCTATTTTACATTAGAAAACACATTTCAAGGTACAGCTGGTGAAACCCCCCCACCCCAAAAAAACAAGTCTTTCCTTGAAGTGTGTGTGTGTGTGTGTGTCTGTTTATGTGTGTGTGTGTTTTCAGAGGCTGTAATTAGTGTCGACTACAACATGTTTAGTGTCAAAAGCTTCATTTATACATCAGAAAACCTTCAAAAAAGTTAATGTTGGTCCGGTCCAATTAGAAATCCTTTTCTTTGTGTCAAAAGTTGTTCAGCCAATCATTTCCCATCATCAGCAATCTGCAGAAAGACAAGAAGACAAAGAAAATTAATAAATAGAAAGAAAAAATTGAAACATAGCAAAATATCACATTTATAAAGCCAGGGACCTAAATGCGAGTGAAACCCTCCAAGATACAGCAGAGTTTCACAGTGAATAAATCATGAGTATGTGTCACGTCACAGGTCTGACACAGCAGTTTTGGACTAAAATAGAAAAAAGTGTGTTTAAAGGGGAGCAGAGAGAGGGGGGGGCTCCCTGCTCATGACTACCAATATCTGTCTGTGTTTGAGTCTGCACTCCAACACCTCTGACCTCTAAAGTCTGGAGCGGCGAGAGGACACATATAGTCAGCAGGGAACCCCACAATTACGCCCGGGGGAAAGGACACACACACACACACACACACACACACACACACACACACACACACACACACACACACACACACACACACACACACACACACACACACACACACACACACACACACACACACACACACACACACACACACACACACACACACACACACACACACACACACACACACTTCTGCTGTCTGGTTTTGCAACGTCATGACTGAACTAGATAAGGATCCCACCAGCAGAGATACAGGATTTAATCCTAATTTGTCCAGACTTTAATCATGATAATAAAGGAAAATCTTTTGACTTCTATTAATTCAAATGACTTCAGGTTTATAGGTTTACAAAATGCCAGTTTCTTACTTCTATTATTGCTCCCACAGTACAGCCTGATGGAGAGAGAAGATGTGTGTGGGTTGTGAAGTGGAGGTTTAGTTATGATTGAGGAGATCAGAGCTGGACTGCAGATTGCAGACATTCAGACATGGGGTAATTATGAGGGGCCTTCCCGAGCCTGAAGGGCTCTCCAGGGCTCCTCTGGCCCACGCTGGCCCAAAAAGCCCCTCTAATATAGGCAGTTCTGTCTCCACACCACACACACACTCTTGAGTATCTTTCAAAGACAGGAATATTGTTAAATGCATACATTTTGACTCCTATTTCAATACAAAAGGACTGAGGGGGTAAAGGTGGTATAGCCTTACTAGAATTACTGTGACCCTCAAAAATGATGTTACAGCATAATATATCATATGCTCAAAAATATGAATATGAGCCAGAGAAAGACACAGGAGGTCAGAGGACGTGAATGGACCATTTCCAAACATGACTTCGCTCATCATTTCATCTCTGCCTCCTCGGTACATCGTCACATAGGGCCTAACCCTAAAGCAGCTTCAAAACGTTATGGGAAAATACTGAAAACACACACACAGTGAGATGCTCCATAACAATTACAAGATTTCTCTGTGCGTTATTCATCAATCATTTTCCGCTATCTTGCCTTTTATTACAATATTAAAAAAACCATGATGTAAATGTTGTTTGCATACTTAGTATCTGTGCTAATCTAGTCACATGATAAGGGGGGGATAGTTAGAAATACATCGGTGAATAGACTGTGTTTGTGTGGTGTATTTGACATGTTCTAATTTGTATAAAGTCTTGGCTTGGGTTTAGGGGTACTTTAAAAGTTCATTATAAAACATTGATGGATTTGACAGGACAATATTCAAATCCTGTGTCATCTAGTAGTCAGCAATAAGAGATCGGAATTACACACGACATACGTTTTCTATTTATCGGCAGTGACTCAAAAAACGAAAAAAGAAAAAACTGCTCTGACGGGTCTTTAACTTGTCCCAAACACTCCTGCTTTAACAGTTTTTTCGGTATAGAGAACAGACTTTCTACCAATTCTTCCTCTCTTCCACTTGACAAGGTCAGTGTTCGGATGATATTCTCATGGTAACGAGCTAAATCTTTTTTTCCACGGATCAAGAAGGCAAGACAGAGAAAGTGTGTGAAAGACTTGGCGAAGTAAGAGAGGTGTAAAGAGACGCAGAAAAAAAGCTTGCATTTGTATCCATGTGGAAGGGTTTGTGAGGGGGTGTTAAAGTCCGGTAGCCCCCCCTGCACACACACTCTTATGCTGACATTGTGTCCGTCCAACAAAGACGTCCCCGCAGCCCCCTCATTATAAATACATGTCATTGGATCACAGCTCGTCTGAATCCCTGAGTCTGCTGCGCTCCTAAGTGGCCGTGACTGAGCCCTGAATGGGTGGCCGAGCGACAGCTATACCAATAGAGCCAACAGTGTGCGTGCGCGCGCGCGTGTGTGTGTGTGTGTGTGTGTGTGTGTGTGTGTGTGTGTGTGTGTGTGTGTGTGTGTGTGCGTGCGAGCGTGCGTGCGTGCGTGTGTGTGCGTGCGTGCAGAGACGACCACAGCCCCCCCAGCCTATGGGAATGAAAGCTTCCCAGCAGGACGAGGTCAGAGGTCCGGCTGTCTGTTACATACACATGTATACACACACGCAGCTTACTGGATGTTTGCGATATGAAGTGATGCAGAAAAGGGAAAAAGGATGAACTTATCGTTAACATTTGAGTTGAATTCAGTTAAAGTGTGGTAACGGCTGCATGTGTGAAGCAGGTTTTTGCTTGAATCTGGGGCAATACATTTTCCTGCTGCCTCGACAACAAAGACGCATGAATCTAGTCCTGGCTCACTTAGAAGGAGGGAACAAGGTCTGCGCGTATGTATATATATGTGTGTGTGTGTGTGTGTGTGTGTGTGTGTGTGTGTGTGTGTGTGTGTGTGTGTGTGTGTGTGTGTGTGTGTGTGTGTGTGTGTGTGTGTGTGTGTGTGTGTGTGTGTGTGTGTGTGTGTGTGTGTTAAAAGAGCTCATCCTATCTCGTTTTGCAGGGGAAAGTGTCTCTATCCCTCTGGAACCGCAAACCAGGCCACAGTGTTGTACTCTCATTCCTCCTGCTCTGTCAGCCTCTCTCTCCTTTTCACTATCAAGGTTTCTATTTCTGACTCAAAGCTTGCATTTCTCTCCGGGTATAAGAAAACTTTTACTCACTCTACTTTCACCCGAGTTTTAAACCCCCAGAGATATGACCCGGACTCGACTGGAAATGAATAATTAAAAGAATAACTAATCACCCGCAGATATGATGGGTATCCTCACTTGATTATAAAAAAAATGACTGTACTGACTCAATAAAAGGCTCACTTGTGCTTTATTTGTTCTACCTTTGTATGTGCAGACAGTGGAAGCATATGTGAGTGTGTACGTACATGTGAGTGTGTGTGATGGACAGATTGTCGGATGCACCGTGGGTTCATTAATGCAGCGCTGCAACAATGAGCAGAGCACGCGATGGCGGCTGCCCATGCTAATCATCTCTGCTGCTAGCCCGCCACCTTCCTGCACGTTTGCCTATATTTGTGTCTCCTCCCCCCTCACTAGACGAGGACCCCGAGTAGGCAGCTGCCCTCGCACAGTGCCTGATGGGGAAACAGAGGCGGCATAGCAGGTCTTCTGTATGGCATCTCTGTTTTTTTATAGACTTTAGCGTATACTGACTGCTTTTATGCTGTCAGACCATCAGAACTGGTTTTAAATACAAAGCGAATTTGTTCTGTCCATCACATTTAAATGGCAGATCCTTAACAAATACATGGCATGTGTAGAGAACTACCTTACCAGGTAAATGGGTTTAGTTTTATCAGCTGTTGATGGTTAAAAGAAAATCACTTATGTTTGAAACAATCTCACTTTGGATAAAGAGCCCCTTCATATAAAATAGAGATTGATGTGAAATACTATTTATGAGAGGAGCTACTGGGAGAAAAAGCATGTATAAATTGTCCTCAGTTATCAAAACAATTCTGACTTTAAACCACTGCATGTTGTGAGATTTTGGAGTTTACTGTCAAAGTCCTGTGAAGTAATAATTGAGAAGGCTGTTACAGTTATTTGTTTATTTTGAAAAAAGGGTAGCTTAAATAACGCTAACTCAATTTGAAGGTGGGAGTTATTCTAACACATAGGCATTGAGTTGTCAAGCCTTTAAATCCCATATTTAGGTTTTGTAATTGTAATTATACAGGAAAGATTTATGTGAAGTTACGTAAGTCAAGAGCGACCAGAGTACAGCAGTCAGAGGTCTGTACAGCAGTCAGAGGTCTGTACAGCATACGGTCCTTGACTGAGCGTCTAGTTGTGTGAGAGATCTGAGACTCAAAACGATGAAGCGACTGAGAGAGGAAACACAATGAGGAAAAATTGTGAAATGGAGAATAGTGGAAAGCATGAGCGAGAAAACAAGAGAGCGAGGGACAAAGAGAGTGGGAGAGAGATGTGAGACCTAAAAAAGTGTCAATGCAAGACTTCCTTTAGGCATGAGTGAGAAACTATGAGGCCTGGTACTGTGTGAATGGTTCACACACACACACACACACACACACACACACACACACACACACACACACACACACACACACACACACACACACACACACACACACACACACACACACACACACACACACACACACACACACACTCCCCACTGAGCCGAGCCTGTGCCAGTGAGACAGGTCTATGGGTCTATTGAGGGGACGGGGAGGGAGCTGTCCCTTTCTGTAGAGCTAATGAAGCCTGCACCCACAGGCATAAAGGAGTGGAGAGAGTTAGCACTGCGCTCCTTCACCCATTCACCCACTTCCTTCCTTTACACCGCTCCTGATGAGGTAATGCTTTCCCTCTTAAAGGGACACCATAAGTGATACACCTTTACGCATGCAGCTCTTTGCACCTGCAGGAGATGTCCAAAATAAATTGTTTGCACGCACGATTCCTGTTCAAGACACTGGATATGATCTTATGACAGGAATAAAAGACACAGCTGCCTTCCCCCTGGCAAAATGCAACTGTTTAAATACTGTACGTTTAAAATATGAGGCTGTAATTATTGTACGTTTTTCTTAATCTCATTCAATTATGCATTACTTGTTTTCTGCTTCGCTTTGTGGCATTCAGCCTCAATTCCATTAGTTCATTCTAAAGATTAAAATCTTCGAAAAATAGTTAACATATTAATTGTTTCATTTTCTACCATCCCATTGGTTCTTATACTATAAGGACGGTGTATGAATTGACTCAAAATAAACATTTAGCCCATGCACATTGTGAAAAACGGGGGTCATATTAACATTTATATTTGTCTTTCAAACAGTGTAGGGAAAATACCTACCTGTTTTTAAAATGCTTGAATTGTTGGTGATGGTCTTTTATGGAATTCATTGATATGAGTCAAATATAATGTTTCACCAGATTAATCCTTGAGAAAAGAAAAGCGATTTCCACAAAGACATTAACGTTTTTCAAGTTAGATTTCACAGGAATCACAGCGGCTACAGTTGTACTTCGGCATTTGAATATGTGCCGTAAAACACAGCGCTCTCTATGATTTCCCGGTACAAAGCTTCCATCAATCTGGAGAGAAACAAAGACAGGCACCACGCTGGAGAGCCTGAAACCAACTGTGTCACTCAGAGAAGAAATGTCACAGAAAGCAGAGATGTGGGGAGAAAAAGGCTTCCAGACAACACAATCACACTTTCAGCACGGGAGGTCTGACTTTACCCTGCCTGCCTGTCTATCTGCCTGTCTGATACTCTGCTGTGACTGCAGCATGATGAAGGAGCTCTTGTCCAAGTCTACACCCAGCAAGGCCTCTCTGAGCAAACCAGACTGAGCTAACAATAGACAGCCGTGCTTATCAAATAGCCTGGCAACTTCATTAGCATCCTACAACACCCAGACGACAACCAAAGTGGCCCTATGCACACACGCACACGCACACGCACGCACGCACGCACGCACGCACGCACGCACGCACACACACACACACACACACACTCAAGAGCCAGACAACCCCTTCACTGCGTGGCCTTGACCCATGAACTCTAGGGTTCTTTCACCTGCTACCACAGCATTCATGCTAGCAGCGCTGTCTCGCCAGCGGCCGCCTGCTCTGCATATGTTCCCCGAACATTCCCACGCTCCGATCTCAGACCTCCAGATTGGTAGACCATCACACTTTAAACACAGCAGTATTCATTTAGGGAATTATGGAGATCCGCATTGTGTCTGGCTGTCTGACTTTCTTCATGACGGCCATCGTGACTTTTCCCACTAGAGGGGAGGCTTTTTATGTCTGTTCTTCCTCCCTCTAATTGATTTGTATATATTCTACAATCTCGTCTGACTGGCGCACAAAGAAAATAAATGTGGTTTTGTTTGTCCAAGAAGCTGCTTTGTTACATACTCTTGTGTTTATGTTCGTAAAGCCATGTTAGCTTCACCACAAAAAGACGTTGTTGTGTCGTTCCTCCCTTTCCCACTATCCTTTGCTTCCCTCTCTTCGATTTCTTCCTGCTGTGTGTTGTTGATTCTCTTTCCCCGGCACATCAAGGGTAAACTCCTGACTCTCCTCGCCTTTGCCTTCCTCTTCCTGAGTCTTTGTGGTTTCTTATTGGCTAGAAGCAGCTTTGCATCTTCTCATTGGATGGCGTACCGGAGAGAAACAGTGATGCGGCTCACACGAGGCTTCAGTATAGTAGGAGCGTTTAAGTGTTATTGTGAGAAATGGGGTAGAGCGTGTTCCTGCTCCCCGACAGATAATGTGACTGTCAGGTTTAGAGGGGTGGGACACTCGGAGGGCTTTTCGTTCAGATCATGCAGGAGAGACCTTGAGAGCCGTGCAAAAGACTGTGACTGAATTTGCCTCGCCACACAGCATATGGTCCTGATCGCTCTATGCAAATGGCCGAGACACAGACACATGTTCACAAATGCAGACAAACTACCCCCCCTCCCCTCCAGTCCCTCATTAATTGTTCTTCCTAAAAAACAGACGCCCCCCCCCCCCCCCCGTCTCAAATAATAACCTCTCCACTAACACCCCCCACTCCATCTTCCCCTGATGAGCGACCCCCCACCCCACAGTCTAGACCCCGCTACCCTCTCTCTCTCCATCTCGAACCAGACGCCCCAAAAGTCCTCCCCCCCCCCCCCCCCCCTTTCCTCTCTCTCCTCTCCTCAGCTCCCACGACCAGCAGACAGACCCTATGATTCGCGTGACCGCCATTTTGCTGCCCACAGTAGACCTAACTGTACAGCGCAGCAGCTGCCCTGATGGGCGAATGCTAATACGAACGCTGCTTTGTTACCCAGCCGCTCAGACGACTCTCATCGCATGAATTAACGCCCCAAAAACAAGACCTGCTCAATCAAATGCGACCACAAAACGACGCAGTGCCGAAATGCACAAACGTGAGGTATTCATTTATACACGCTTCAATCCTCTGACTACATAAACGCCTCAGAATGTTATTATGCCAACTTATGAGATGCACGCTCAGTATTTTTATGGTTATTTCAAAGGACATTTAAAAAAGAAAACAAAGCGCCTCTCATTTTCTTTTAACTGGTGTATTCTTGGAAAAATAGCACTGATCTGATACTTCAAAGCTACAGTGTTCTTCAGACTCCAATTTTTTTTGTTACACTGCCTATTTATATGTTTCATATGCAGCACTTTTCTGGCACCCCAGGATTTGTTCAGTGTCATGGTTACCAGACACCCATGTGCATGAAAATGAGACTATTATGGTCTGTCTGTCTAGGGTTTGTTGGGCCTATGGATCCCTTTTTAATTACAGTCTGTGTGCATGTCTGAGCTTCTCTGTTTGCTTAATGCTTTCATCTGTGCATCATGTATGTCCGTGTGTAAAATAGGACGCAGTGCATGCGTGACAGAGCGCTATCTGATTAAGAGAAAGGCTCGCCTTAATCTGTTGTACAGTGTCACATTTGCATGCGAGGGAATCACATGCAAACACACGCACCATATGGCACAGTAGGACAAGACTCTTGATCTCGCATGCACAGAACACCTATCAAACACATTTTCAGGGTGAGAATACTCACAATCTCAAGAAAAAAATAAAACGAAACCAAACAGCACTTTGAAACACCCTTCACTTCGGCTCGCTCGCCGATATGACGCATTCGTGGGAGCAATTATCAGCCAACGACATGATGGTTGGATGTTATGCAAATGCAATTAGCCTCGATTTGCATTCTACAACAGCTAACGGATGCACAGATGGCAGACAACAGAGATGCGCCCGCCATCTTTGGCAGAGGCATACACTGTCGGCCATTTTGTCTGAAGCTGTGCCCATCTGGATGGAAACAACCGCGCTGCATTGCTGTGACGACGGGAGCTGTGGGTGCACGCTGCTGCACGCTGGCAAACACTTTCAAGGCCAGGTACAGTCCATTCACACAAACAGAGCTCTGTTTAAAATGAAGCTCTCTATTCAAAATGTTCAGATTTGAGTTGCGTCTTATAATTCAAATGGCTGTACAAACACACCCTAATAATCTAACTTCTTAGAGTTAAAGATACATCTTTTACAGCTGTAAATTATATCCTAATAATGATTCCTTCTGATACAAAAAAGGTGCAGAGTGACGGGCATACATACACACACACTCAGGCACACACACACTATTTCAGGTAATGTACGAGGTAATGAGAGCACATTGACAGTTTTCACAAAGTGGAAAGTGCTAAGGAGAGGTACTTGCCATTTACCATCTACTCTACAAGGTGTGCAGATCTCTCCTATGTGATCTCCTGCCCTCATTACTGTTCAATCGGTTTTTCAAAAAGTCTGAAATTGAATAACAGACATCACGGGGAAAAAAAGGTGATCATTCTGCTGCTGTCTCTGGTTTTAACAGACACATGTCTGCAGCTCACCATAGTAACAGCCAAAGAGTGGGAGAGAAAATAAAGATCGTACTGTCTCTTTGTCAAATGTAAAAACTGGTTGGGGAATAAACAACGGGCGAGATGAGGTTGGAGAGTGAGTCAAAAGCAGAACTCCCAAACTGTTTTTAAAACAGCCAGAGGCAGAAGTTGGGGGATATGTCAATCTTATGAAGGGAAAACAATTCAAGAGAAAGAGAACATCCCTGTCGGCAGTCTCTCAACATACCGGGTATTATTTGGGGAGAGATCCCCTTCAGCAGAACCACACACAGCCAGTGGAGATTGGGACTGAGGTCCAGTCTGAGGGGCAGGGGCTGCAGCTGAGAGGGCCACACAGGGCCCGTCCTTTGGAGGTCTGCGGGCCCGAGGCCACAGACTAACACAGGAAACCCCACTCTGCTGTGCCGGCTCTGTGTTTCGTATTGATTTCTCCTGCATGCCGGTAGCTCCAGAGGTGCTTCGAGCCTTCAGGGAGCTTTTCCATCCTTCCCAGCCCACTCACTTGCTCCCCGCCTGGGCTTCACCGGCTCTGCTGGACCCCTGGATGGAGGTATGGGCCACAGGAGGAGAGGAGGAAGACGAGAGCCCATGGCAATGATGATGAGCTGCGCTGGGTCTCTGAGTTCAGTCATCTACCAGCCTTTATCCAGCCTTCCAACCACCCACCCTTGTTTCCATCTGAAAAAGAGAAAATAGAGTGTTTTTCAAAATCTCACCTTTGGCATTCAGCATCCCTCTGCTCAATGCAAATGCAAATGTAAACACTAACACTTTGATTAAAAATATGTGGGAAGAAAACGCCAACTTGCTCTTTTGTAACCTGCCCCAAGGCACTCGCTGCTATACAGCAACAAATACAAATGCTCAATATGAAACAGACAAATCCACCTCGCTTTATATTTAAAAATGTAGTTTTTTTCCATAAATATAAATCATTCACATTAAAATCTCTACTGTTTGGAACACTATTGAAATAAATACGTTCAGTTATTTTTGACCATGCCTTATGAGTGGTATAAACAAAACAATGAGCATGATAACGGTTTTTATACTTAATGAATAATTTGCATGGATTCCTTCACTGCAGTGCATCTTCAAATTGTCTGAAAGCATTCTGAAAGCTGTTATCATGCTAATACAACGTAGTCCTTTATGTGTTGCTTTGTTCTTTTCTATACGAAAAACGAATTGCAGGGGCCTCCTTCAGTAGCTTTGCACCCACTGGCCCCCATTTCTGTACGGCCAGCAGCAGAGACACATTCAGCTCAGTGTGGTTTGTGGAAAATTAATAGGACACATAGCAACGGGTTAAAGCAGACGAGGTCAGTTATGGGATGGCTTGTTTGTGAATCTGAGTTCACTGTTATGTGCATGTTTTCATCACATAATGGGGGAGCACCCGGAGTCGCCCCTGGCTTGGCCTGTGCAGGGGAGTGACGTGGGGTGAGATTGGGTGAGCCGGAGGAAGATTCAGACACAATGCCCCCATTGAGAGGGTTCAGACATGGGTGTTAACTCCCCATTCCTTCACACACAATAGGGCCCCCCACTAGAGCCGGCGTAGGGGACAATGTTGGTTCAGGGCAGCCCTCCACCCAGCAAGAAAGAAAAGGGCTGCATTATCAAGATGGGAGGAGAGGGAAGCATGGATGGGGGGCAGGAGCAGAGAGATGGAGGGAAATGTTTGTGTTTGAGGAGCGGAGCAGAAAGGAGCCCTGTGACCCATGGCTTTGGACTTGAGGAACAAAACAGAGACCCTGACAAACACATCGCAGCAGCGTCAGGCAACCTATACAGCCTGGGAAAAGTTTAAACAATATTTAATAATGATTATCATAATTCTTTCTACATATATCTTGGTTTTACATCTAGTGTTTCTTATTATTTCTGAAGGATAATTCACATTTGGCCAACGGACAACAAAAAGCTAGCCCTTTTGCTTACTGGCATATTTACATTTCTGTATTAAATTAAGCAATATAGATCAAATGCTGATGGTTAACTAGTCCAATCTCACAACATTGATTATCACTTAGCATGTATTAACATGTTAGAAGTATCCAGTCAATTTAAAGGAAGCTTTGGAGCCTGGAGAGCAAATAGTCTTAAGTCGTGCTTTTATTACGTTGTATTAAAGCTGTATATAACTCCTTTATGAAACTGAAGATAAAAGTGTCTTGCAGTGACATAAGTGACATCAAATGCTTTTTAAAAATACAATTACACACTTTACTGAGTAGGAATGAAATGACTGTTGCAAATATACCCAAGATATTCCTGATTAATTTCAACTATTGACCTTTTTTTGCATTTCATTCCCCTTCCTCTTCCACTGTTTCCAGTCTTTCTCTGACACTGTCACTAACTATATTAGAACATATATATAACAATAATATGAAAAGCTGAGATATTAAGTTGAAGAATCTTCTCCTTCCTACAACTTTTCCTCTTAAAAATGAAAAACCAAAATGCACCTAAGTACATTTCAAAGGTTTCACTGAAATACAGACCCAGTTGTGATTGTGATACACACTCTGAGTAAAATGACAGATTGGGGTGTTTATCCGCAGCCTCCGCATGTTTTCAGCAGAAAAAAGGAATCACATCCTCCAATGACTCCAGCATTTTTTAAACATCTTAAGCGCTCCTCCAAAGACCATATAACAAGCGTTTGCTTGTTTGCAGTTGCTTGTTATATACTCTTTGGTTGTAAAGTAACACTGTTTTGAGAGTGAAGCTGACAGCGCTAACAAGCCGTTGGTAAAGTGTAGAAGCTTTTATTCTGCCTTTATTTCCAAGACAGGTAAAAATCTCATCTGGTTAAAAAAAGGGGGGTTCTGCTTCAAATGTACAAAGGAAGCTATCAGTTTGGCTGTGTTTGAGGCCATGAGGCAGTATAGGTGACGAGAGGAGGGGGGGGTGGGGGTATCAGGAAATGTTTAGGAGATCCTGTGTCTCTCTGGGAGCCTAATAGAATCCTGTGGCTGCAGCGAGAGCTCATTGTGCCGGTGTAAAGGATTACACTGGTAAACTGGTAAAACAGGGGAAAGAGCCCAAACACTCTCTACCTCCTATGGAGAGGCAACGAACCATCGAACAATGAGAGGGGAGAGCGTACTGCAAGCTGAATCATTTCATCTACGGAATAAAAACCTGGAGAAAGTAGTGAAAGAGCTGCGAGAGTTAGAAGATAGAGGAAATAGATCAGGCAGTTCATATTCAGGCATGTGCTTGGGCATAACAATAAGCAAGGAAGGATGGGAAAGAAGGAGAGCAGGAGGGGCTGCATGGACAACAGTTTCAGTGGTAGAAGGTAATATGGGGAAATGATGTCGGTGTTGCTTGTCTGTCTGCATCCTGAGTGACAGTTTACAATCTCTGAGGCAGCAGGCGGGCCGAGCAGGTCGGCTCTTTGGCTCCATACGATCTCTCATTTCTCATTTCCCCCCCCCCTCTCTTCCTCTCTACCCTGCACCTCTGGCTCTCATCTGTTTCCAGCCATCTTTAATCTTAACCACCACTTCCTCCTCTGCATTTTGCCCACATTTAAAAATATGTCTTTCCTCTTACAGCTCACGTTTGATGGGCAATTATTTTTTTCATTGTACTGTGCTGAATGTACGACATGCGAGTCATTTTTTGACTAAAGTATTAAGATGTCTAATACTTAAGCAGCTGCTTTATAATGATTTCTAACAGGCCGTCTGTTCTTTAGTGAGGTTATAACTACATATGATGAGCCAAATCGCTCTCTCTCTGCACCCGGCCTCCCATTCATCAGTAAAACTGTTAGCTGACTTTCCAAAAGTGTCACCTTATTCATTCAAAACCTGATTAATGTTGAGCTAATATTTGATAAAAAAACTGCCTTTTTCTACCTTCAGTTTGTCATCTTTAACAGGTTTTAAAAGCTAAGGAATTAAAATAAAGATTAGGAATAAAGATTAGGAGGTTTTATTGCAGCGGAAAATCCCTGCCAACGTGTGATGAGCAGGTACATTTCCCACAGTTTACACGGACAACGCGTAAGTAAAGCATTCTTCTCCTCTCATCTGCTGTTCAAATGGAAACCACGCTGAGCATAATGCATCATCTGCATTCTGCAACCTGCCACGCTGAAAGACTCCTCGCTCTCTTCATCTCTGTTCCTTCAAAGGCTGCCGAGGGTGTATTCAAACAGCAGGATACACACTCAGCTAACAAACCTCATTAAGGGCCCATACACACTGTCTCAATGCTAACACTAGCTGTCACACATCCCCTCTCAATGCATACACTGGTGGCCACACTGGCCGCGACAAAGCATCTTTACAGAGCTAATTAGAAGGGTCCCCCTATCTATTTGAAACTCATCTGAATAGGAGGGAAGATGACAACACAGAGGGGAGAAGGAGATAGAGAAGGAGGGACAGGCAGGAGAAAGGAGAGAGAGAGAGAAGAGAGGACGCTTGCTAATACACTCAAATAGATAGCAGCCGTGTTTTTTTTATAGGGTGGAATTAAAGAAAGGAGCTGAATCAGGCAGGGGGACTCAAATTAGTGTGACACCGCTCTGTGCAGGACTGGCGCAACGGGGACGGGGAGGGAACTGAGTGCTGCACCGCTTTGATCGGTGTGCCAGTAGAGAGAGACGGAAGGAATGGGTGTGACACCAGCTTCATGGGGGAGGCAGCTGGACGCTATTTCAGAAAGCTGTGTTAAACATGCTGCACTTAAACGAGTGGTTAAACAAACTGGAACAAATACAAAATGTGGAATAATTAGATAAATTAACCTTTGCATTGAACCAAATATGTGAGACGCTTACGTGTTTCTTTGCCTTTTCAATTTATGACAAATGTTGCAAAGCTTGCTGATGAAAGAGATGATCAGCATTCATGGTCTAAAACATCGCTGTGTCTTTCAGCTCCGTATTTAGAGAAGGATAGAAGGTCACACTGAGAGTTCAGCTCCAAAAACATTCCTCCAGAGTTGCCATATCTTCCTCCGACCCTCCTCCATTTCATGTTTACATTTTTCTTTTGTGTGCCCTTGAAGCAAGCTGTGTGTGTGTGTGTGTGTGTGTGTGTGTGTGTGTGTGTGTGTGTGTGTGTGTGTGTGTGTGTGTGTGTGTGTGTGTGTGTGTGTGTGTGTGTGTGTGTGCAGGCAGACAATGCCAAGTTGACAGTTAGGGTCTCGGATCAAGCACAAGGCCAAGGTTGTCTCCACAGACTGAGTGAATGGACTCATCAACAATTGCAGAAGTAAAACCTTAATTTGTTCTCAAAAACCGCCTCAATATTTTGGCATCAAAGTTAAAAAAAAGAAAGATATTAGTACGCTTGAGAATTAACAAATAACAAATAATAATAATAATAACATATTAGGCAGTGGCTGTTTTTAAATGTAACAAGAACAGAATGCAAATTAAATGCAAACAAATTGCAAAAAAAAGAAAGAAAGGAAAACGGGAAAATGTTCAATCCTCAGCTTAATTCTAAGTTCAAGTTTAAGTTATGACCTAATTGTTGTCCCATCAAGCCCAGTGGCCCCAGATGATCGTGCAAAGCATTCTGGGAGGATAGCAGGTGTCCCCAATGTCACAGAGCTTCCCAGACAGCTTGTTAATTTGCACAAGTTTTACACACACATCTCTCCCTCTATGTGTGTGTGCATGCATGTGTATGTATGTGTGTATATATTAGCGATGGGACTTGACCCTAGCGAGCTGCGGCAGTGTTTCGCGTCTTGCTGGGCGTGGGAAAAAGACGGGACCCCTTTTCACAGCTGCCTCAGCCGAGGCCTGGGCTGCTGGGGGCCCCTGTACCCCCTCGACACACACCCCCGACTCCCCCCTCCTCCCTCCATCCCATTCAGGCTCCGGCCTACTGGCTTTCAAAAGCAGGACCCCCTTCCCAGCCCTTCATAAATACATCTCATTATTCAAGCCCTAGTTTGCATAGGGATTCCAAAGAGATCTCCACTCTGCTCGTGAGGCCTGAAGCCTCTCAGCCTTTTGGACCGCACAAGTGCAAATTTCGACTTAGTAATCTCCCTGTGTTAATATTTGTTTTAAAACAAAGTGTGCACACTTGCAAAACTGTTAAACCAATATTGCAACTGTCTTAACATTTCTTTTTCTATGCATCTCACTCTTAAAATCTCTCCTTTAATTCCCGCAATGTGGTGGAAAATCGGATGAAACTAAAACCAGTGAAAAGAGAGTTTAGCATGACTATTAGAAAGTGCTTAGCTAGTCTGTATTCCATCTGCCACTGGCTATTGTACAGTACACACACACACACACACACACACACACACACACACACACACACACACACACACACACACACACACACACACACACACACACACACACACACACACACACACACACACACACACACACACACACACTCTTCAACACCCCCCCCCCCCCCACTGCACCCCCCTCACCCTCACCCCACCTCTATTCGCTGCAATGCATTACTGCAGAGATTTATCTCCTATCAGTCTGTATAATACTGAGGTTATAATTTACATCCACTTTAGAAAACAGCAGCACAGGCCGGCCCTTGCATATGCTAATATAAAGCTTGGGAAAATCTGGGCGACTAAAAGAACTCCACACTAAATTTGAATAACTGAGCTTCAAGGTTGTGCAACCATGAAAATTTGACCTTGCTAACAATATGTACTTATTGTTTAGTTCCTAATGCGAAGCTATTAAAGGATAAATTGGAGGGAACATACTGACAACCCCAAAGCTAGGAGTGTTTTGTTTCGATGTTGCGAAATAACTGAAATAGCATCTCCTGGGCTCCGGTTTTTATTTCTTAGAAACCTCAGAATTTGAAAATGTTAATTTTAATGTGAGGGTGAAACCAAAAACATCTTAAAGCACTGCTCGTACAAAAAGGTTTTCTTTGAAATGTACGGTAATTTCAGGCATTTTGACTTCACTGCTGCCGTTGCTAAATCATGCATGGGCATACCTTTATTCAAATCGCTACTTTGGCCACCACATAATAATAGGGATACTGTGGACAAGGGGAGGGTGACTCGTTGAGGAATTAAGGCCGAAAAGGACAGAGCCACCCAAACGCTCTTTCCACATGAGCAGGTCCAAACCTCGCCTCCGCTCTCCTAACGGGATAAAGAACCGCAGCAAAGATTACACGGCCACCTCCCCTGCACCTACCACACACTCTACCTGACAAATAGGATCACAGTGTTTAAAGGGATGAATGTATGTGAATGAAAGAGCGAAGTGTGTGTGTGTGTGTGTGTGTGTGTGTGTGTGTGTGTGTGTGTGTGTGTGTGTGTGTGTGTGTGTTCGTGTGTGTGTGAGGAGGATGGGGGGTTGATGTGCAATGTAAAAAATGTTAATACTTCAAAGGAATGATGGAATTCAACATGGAGCACTTCCTTCACTCGCTCAAATCACCGCGTTTACACTCTGTGCTGTAGGCTACACTGAGCTCCACACTGTAAATATATTCTGATATATAACAGAATGATATAAAACTGACATTAACACTGTGCGCAAATAAAACTGCAATCCGTATTTTCGCTTGAATAAGACAATGAGGATTTTCTCTTTTAAAAATCATTCTTTATGATTAACAAAAATATAAAATCCCCAATGTTTCAAAATTCACGCTCAGCATGTTATGGTCTTGTCTATTTCACACCCACAACCATCCTCACAACTAAAAAATATGGACAATAATCAACCACCATAATGTGTTCACTCAAGACTCTCCTGAATCAAAACTGCAAGCCTCCTGCATCCTAAAGTGCGACATGAACATGCCTCTTCATGTACTTATTGTCAAACACAAAATAAATTATAGGTGAGCTGCTTTGCATTTAGCTAAATCATAGTCTTTGGCTCATACAGATATGACAGCTGAACCACTTCTTTCTATATGCATGTGTTCTCACTTCAAATATTTACCTGCATGCTGACTGTTGCTCCTCCTCCTGTCTGGTGGCAGTTTGTCTTCATGTTGAGTTGATGAAAACTTCATGGCTGACGTCGTCAACATGTTCCTTTTAAGACAAAAGAAAAGAGAATCAGTGTGTGTGAAATCACTCATTTTAACAAAACCACATATTTCAGGGAATAAATATGTGGCTTGCGAGTGAGTGAAAATAAATGCATTTTGGTTGACCTTGCAGCTAACAGACCACTAAAACTTGTATTTTCCTTGGCACTTCTCATTTGTTTGCCTCTCTGCGAGGCTAAACCTATTTTCAGTTGCTTGAACAATAAGTCAAGCTTGATAATAGTGTTTGCTGAAATTCAAAATTGTAAAATGTGATGGAAAAGGCTCAATGAGTGGGAAACAATGCCACAACACAATAGCATAGAGCATGCTTCATCTGGGCAGTATCACAGTTGCTTAGCTACTGAAATACAGGATTGAACACGAAAAATGTTGTATACAAATTAGGCTATTATGAGAGGATAAATTCAAGAAATACTCACTATAAGTGTGGAATCATACAAAAAGATAGAGATTACATAATCTTATAATATGTAAATGATTAAATGTCTTTGTATTAATAAAAGCTGGAGGACATGGAGGTCAAATAATGTATTCTGGCTTAAACTGTATACTGGTTTTCATGAAACCTTCAACAACACACACGCAGACACACAAGATCCAAGCTCCCTTGTTTAACGGTGCACATCAAATATTGTCAGTCATGGTCTAAATAGAGCATGCTGGGACTTCAGGGATATTCAGTCATCTCCAAGGCTTGCTGATTCTGCTCTAAGAATAGATCAAACTCTGAGCCGATGTCCTATTTTGTTCGTATCTAGCAGGCAAACATAAAAATAATCCACCCGGCGGAACACAAATTTGAACATATCTGCCATGTCTAACTTGGATTCAGTGATGAAAGCACGTTGGAAACGCCTGTCGATGTACAGTCTCTTTGGCTCTAAATGACTGATTTTGATGTGTGGTACCCTCCGGGGTCTGGATGGGTATAACTAAAACAATAGTTGACACTGATATGATGCAAAAACACTGTTCTTGAGTTCTTATCCTGCATGTTAGCACACAATAGACCAGTCTTTTAAACTCTAATAAGCCTTCATCTTGTACCCAAGTGATGTACATGCGCATCCAATTATACATCACACTCCTAATGTCAAGTAAATTACAGCCAGGGGACATCACTTAGCGTACAGCACTCATAAAGGAAATACACTCAGTATCAGAGGAGTCAGGGAGTCTACATGCAGATGCAGCTCTGCAGGATTAATTCATACACATTAAGTATTGGCGTGCATGAAGGCAACTAGTAGGCCTATAAAACCCTCACCATAACCAACATGTGAGACCTCAAAGGCGATGTGATGCTGCTGCTGCCAACACAGTCACGTGAGTCCTGGATGGACCAATCACAGGAATCCTTTAACTATTTCTGTCTTACCCCTCAAGGTGTTAATGTTATAACACCCACACAGTTATGACAACTACACAAGAGCACGCGTTGTGTTTTTTAAAGTATGTTTTCTCACATGCATCACTAGCTTCTGTGCTAAAGTTGAGCAGATGTATTGATCCTCAATAGGCCCCAGCATCACCGCGATGCCCAAAAAGCGAACCCTGAACGCAGCAACATTCACGTCCTCATAAACACGCAGGTGACACCTGTCCACCAGAGGACGACCAGCACTAAAATCACACCGGTGTGCAGCACTCCTCTCCTCGCGGCGTGCAGCCTCCCTCAGCATCCGTCCCTCCTGCCTCCTCCTCCCGCCGCCGCTGCTGCTGCTGCCCCGGCATCTTCTCCGTCTCCACGCCGAGAGGGAGCCCCCGGATCCGAAGTGCTCGGCGTCAGTTCGTACTTTCGGTTCTCTAGCTTTATGAAATTAAAACTCATACAGCTAGATAACCAAAGATACAAACTAAGCCATCGTCTCTTAAAGGGGCCGCCTCTCCGGTACACACAGAGAGAGTGCGAGAGAGAGGAGAGAGCCTGCATGTGGTCACATTGCACTGAGAGCCCCCCCCACACACACACACACACACACACACACACACACACACACACACACACACAACACACACACACACACACACACACACACACACACACACACACACACACACACACACACACACACACACACACACACACACACACACCTTTATATCAAATCAAACTTGCAGTGTTGCTCTACAAGGAGTCATCATGACTACTTTGGTGCTAAATCAGCATTTGAATTGGCAAAGCAAAACAATTGCAGGCACCTTTTTCGGTCATTTTGCAACCCAATCAAAACCAGTATTTACAGTAATTTTGTAATATATAAACGTACATTGTTCCAGGGGTGCAGGCTGCCTGTGGTAAACACTGAGCTTTTACACTGCTCCAGATTTGAGCCACTATTATACCGCATCAGGCCTAACAGGCAAGCAAAGTTCCCATCAAACAGCCATCAGTAATGTCACAGCTATAATTTACATTTCTGGAAACCACAAAAGCACAATCAATCTGATGGAACACATTCAAAACCTCCTAATCAGAATTAAAGTTATAACCAAATAATCTACCACCTATATAAATCCAGCATCCCACTTACTTGAACATCAGCTAGGCTATAACTCCTCTCCACTACAGCCAGTATCCTCCAACAATTTCCGGATTGGATTTGTTTCTGTGTTATTAAAGGCTGATCGCTCCCGATGAGAGTATATATTGTAAAAGAGCAGAATATAAAAGCTACAAAGTGTCCTGTGTCTCTACAGACTCGCATGTGTCCTCTCCCTCACACACGCGAGCTGCGACTGACAAGTGCAGAGAGTCCACGCGCTGAGCAGAGGGGATAAACTCCGCCTCAGCGCGAGAGAGAGGGGGGGAGAGAGAGAGGGAGAGAAAGAGGGAGAAAGGCGGGAATCTGAAATCATTAACGCCAATTTGAAAATGAATTAAAGTGTGTCAATCAGGACTTAACTCTCCCAGTTGTCCTCATTCGGTTGGCCGTAAAATAAAGTGAAGTGCGTAATTATTTCTTTTTGCAGATGGAGCTGGGTGGATGACATTTTGAGAGAAATGGCTGTTTTATTGAGAATTAAAATTGATATTTCTTAAACTTTCAGGATTTGGAAATGTCAGCTTTGTAGCTACACCTATTTACGGACAAATTCACATTTAAGTTGTTTCTGTTGAAAACACAAGCTAAAATGATAGAAGTCATTTTAATTGAAGGTTAGGATATATTTCATTTCATAATTTAAAGAAGCAAAACAAAAGGCTAAAAACACAACCATCCAAATGATTATATAATAATTGATAAGGCTGTATGATATTTTAAACAAACAGCTCTAAGAGAGAACAGACATTTACTGATGTGATTGAATGCATTTGGAAACATCAGCAAAATAAGCCTATTGCTTGCTAGTTGCTACTCTTTCATATAACCAGATTTTGGCTGCATTTTAGCTAATTATTAGAACACAATGACTTACAATAGCCATGTTTAGTTAAAACAAATGTTGCTGTGTTTTATTTTAATTTTAATATAATCTAACATACAAAGCTCTTGAGGCTCGCATGCCTCATGCTCTGCAGAGGAATATAGGTGCAGAAAAGGCCCACGCCTACAGTATATGGCTAAACCCCTGATAGCATATTCAGGCAATATACAGATCCATTGTGATAATATGATATGATTGATATCTGGGCTGAGAAGATGAGATAATGCATGAGATAACAATCACACACTATGATAAAAGAAGCCAGTAACAGAGACAAGACCAGAATAGCAACTTCCAATATCTATTAAAGTTTGAAAAGGATATTTAAAAAGGTGCTAGGATGTGTGCGTGCGTGCGTGTGTGTGTGTGTGTGTGTGTGTGTGTGTGTGTTTGTGTGTGTGTGTGTGTGTGTGTCTGCAGGTAAACCAATAAAAGAGCAGCAGCGAGCTACAGTCTGGGTTTCCAAACGAAGCTTGCATCAGATAGCAGTTACATATCTGATTATTGCGCATGGGCAATCTGTTAGTATGGAGGTGCTCTGCTGTCAGGCTGCTGCAGGTCCAGCTCTACTGTATGAATCCTCTGCTACTCTGCATCATTTATAAGAAGATGCAATCAGCTGTGGCCTCTGCTGCTGACTGTCATCCTGTAATTGAACTTACACCAGTGTGCGATCACTGTGGTTTAAGAAGAGCAGTAAGGCACATACAATTATTTAAGAAACAAAATATAATCCTTGTTCTACATTGGCATGAGAGCAGTGTTCGTTTTGATTGGATGCACAGCCCTCAATGCTCCTGAGCATGCGCGACCAGGGCGTTGGGTACACGTGCATCCCTTTCTTGTAGCTTGCAAAGTATCATGCCAAGCCACTGTTCACTGTAATGAACAATAAAGGGAAACAGTACCCGTGTACAAACCCACCATCACTAGTGTTTAAATTCAAAATTGTATTTAAAACTCTAAAATCTTAATATTGCCCACATTTTGTCTCCAATATTTGTTGCCTTAATTGGTTTACCTATTAAATCAAATCTAACCACTCCAGAGTAGCCCTGTATTCAAATGCATTATAACGTTTAGTTGCAAATCAAATTATTGCAGAAATACATTTTGGACCGACTATTAATTCCCGGAGATAAAGTGCATTCAGTCAACTGTGATAATTACTTGCAAATTACGAGGTGTCCGTGTGTGTGTGCGCGTGTGTGTGTCCTCAGATGGATTTTCCCACAAACAAGTGACAGGGAAAATTTAACTCCCCCCTTTCTCACCCTCCAAAAAAAGAAAGAAGTCAACATCAAGTTCAACAACGTGCCGGGGAGAAATTAACATGACAATCAGGTCTGGGATCCTCGGGGTGCCCCCCCCCTCCCCACCCCCCCTCACAACAGAGTCTGGCGTCAGCCCCGCTACACTTTCCCAGGCTCACAACAATATCTCCCTGCTGAACTCTGCACTGCAGCCCGGGGCCTCCCCCTCCTCCTCCTCCACCTCCTCCCCCTCCTCTACCACTACATGAATACTTCTCACATGAGCACATGGCAGCGAAGAGCCTCATTAAATATTCTGCAGTTTGCATAAACTTTAATGCGGGCTAATTGGCATGCATGATGAGAAAAAACCTGTAGGATTTTTCCCATGGATTGAGCGCTGCTCAAGAGGCCTGATCGTAGCATATGGCACATTTGACATGCTTTAATGTTGCTGTAATATTGCATTCAAAATGTGTTGTCATTATATTAGCATCAATTTATCAGTTACATAAATTACTACAAGAATAAACATATTTTAGAAGTATTTTCAGGCTTTGGTCTAGGCTACATGTATTGTATTCTCTTATTTCTCTGATTGCCTAATGCACAAGCAAACACCGAAATAAGCTTTTCTCTGATTGAAATATATTCTTTACGCTATCCAATTTGTAAAATCAAAAGGATATTTTAAAAACATGTGGCACTGCCAAATATACTCACAATTTACTTGAGTTTCTTCCAAAAATGCGTCCACATTCTCTGGATTTTGTAAGTCTATAATTAATTGAATTGTCATTTGTCCCAAAATACGTCCTTTCTGCACTCCATCCATAAACTGGGCTTGATATTAAGAGAGAGAGAAAGAGAGAGAGATAGAGAGAGAGAGAGAGAGAGAGAGAGAGAGAGAGAGGGGGGGGGGGAGAGAGAGAGAGGGATGCCTATATGCATATCCAGCGTGGCAAAAGTGCAACACAACGCCTGTTAGAAGCGATTTTCCTTTTAATTTTATATTAAATGTAACCCGCTGCATTAAGGAAGAGCTCCCAACAATATTATGTAGAAAATCCTCTCTTACCGGATAAAGCAGATCATACAGGAGTGTGAGAGCAGCGTTTGCAGCAGCGAGAGAGGCGAGGGGAGGGAGGATGATGATGATGATGATGATGATGAGGAGGTGGAGGAGGAGGAGGGAATACAGACCCAGGGCCTATCAAATGTGTCAAACAGGCCCTATGATATTTAGGGGAAATAAACGGGAATATAAAACAGCAGGTTGTAGGTTGCTGCTGGTTTTTGTTTTGAAATAGAAATAAGAATCGCATCGAAAAAATCCGCTTGTTAGCCATATTAGATGCACCCCCATGTTAATGCAGTGGTTAATAATAATGCAGCCTATAACATAAATGTCATAATTATAATTCTTTAAAAAATCCTCAGGTTTTTATCGTTTTTCTTTGGAAAAACGAATTTGTGTTATTTTCCTCAAAATACGTATTTTTGTTAACTCAGAAGTTTGAGTGTCTTTGTTTTACAGAAGCTGAACATGGATGGTATTGTGTTGTTATTAATTTACTGTGGAGTAGGATTTATAGATTTACAGCATATAGTAGGCTATTTTTCACGTCAGGAGAAGCCTGTCGAATATTCTCTATTATCCAGGATCAAATGTTCTCAAATCGATACGAAGGTAAGAAAAGTCTGGGCTTGTTGCTGCTGGCTTGTTCTCTCTTGTGGTATAGGATGAAGATGCTAACCTTTGAGTAAAGAAGGAAATAATCCAAGAAGGCACTTTATGATGTAGCCATTTACAGTAGGTCTAATGCATGCTGCATGTAGGTGTTTACAGCCTGTTTATGATCGACCTGTGACATTGGAATAATAAATTCAGTCGGTTATATTGTTTCCATTTCTCACCTACACACCAGCATAATGTGTGTTTCAGGAGCAGGGGAAATTAATGTTAACGGGTTAGAACTTAAACACATAGAAAGGCGTAAAGAGATGCAGTGTACAGTAACATGCATCTGCAGGAGGAAACAGCGACACACTTTGGTGAGAAGGAACATGACTGTTTACAGTGACACTGTAACCTTGTTTTATAAGGAAATGTATTAATTAATTAATTACACATACATTGTATGCGTTTGCAAAGAGACGAAAACAAATAAAAAAGAGGAAAATAAAAAGTACACCTAAAACCTATTCTGCTGCAGACAAAGTTTATGAATGTAAATGAATACACTTTACATCTAAGTGTAATGTAAAAGCCAATCATCTTCTTCATGCAATACAAATATTCTTACTTAAATAATAAAATGATACTCATTGAAACGTTTTTGGACTATTAACAAACAATACACTGCTGTTTAAAAATGATGGCTATTTTTATAATACAATAAATCCTTATAGGCTAAAAAAGTGTGGTACTAGCTGTAGATAAGTTAAACTGTTAAAATACTGTATTTTGTAAATACTAAAATAGTACATTTGTTAATATTATGTATATGATTAATATTATTATTATTGAACATGAACATTAAAAACAGATACAGACTGAGGAAAACTTAAATGAAAAGTGTGTTGATGTTTATTTCACACTGCTACAAAATGATAAAGTTATATTATGTCTTGACATCCTAACACAGCAACAACATGCTCTTGATAATAGACTATTAGTATTCTTTGTATGTGATTTTGAAAAGTGACATTTCTTATTATTACAACATGTTGGTCTACATCCTACCTTATATAAAATGTTAACACATGTTATATGTTCTGAATAAAAGGCACTCTATCAACTCAACACACTACCTATAACATGTATTGAAAAGCCAGAAGATTCGTTTAACACTGTAGTTGTTGAGCTGTAAAAAAAACCTAATGTATGTTTGAATGATTATTTTACATTAAACTTATTTTGATGTCTGCTGTCTACCTATTTTCACACTAATTCATAACATTTTGTTTATAGCAGCATCTCTTTAAACGTTCTGCTTTTATTAGCTTTTAGATCTTATTTTG